AAAAAAACAATCATACTAAAACAAATAGGGTAGGCACTAGTCACAAACAAAAATAATAAAACTATGAAATGCATGTGTAATATTTCAGTTTCAATTGAATAATAATGAATACATTARTTAAAGTTTCTAGGAATTCTATGGACTCTATATTTTAAAGTTTCAGCAAACATCAACGATTTTTCAATTTGCTGTTTCATGAATGTTTGATTACTGATTATGAGTAAGGTGCATTCCAAGTATTTATTGATAGACATTCCGAGTAGACTCTGGGCGACTAAAGAACGAATCTTACCAAGTTTTTCTAGTAGTTGATTTAGAAGTTTCTCCATGACGAGCACTATGTCTTGTTGAAGTTGGTCACCAACCACACAATTCTTGTTTGGTATGGGATAATGCAATATGTCTCGCATGTACGACATGAATTCACACAGTTCATTTGGAGTAACTTCCAAATCCAAAGCCTATGAACCAAAAGTAATTTATATTTATTAGTTTATTATTATTATTATTATTTTTTTTTTACCAAAAAAAAATGACATTTATATATTCAAAATATTACCAATGATAAGTTGTTCAACTTTTGTGACCGATCCCTCAACGTTTTTGTTGATAAACATATCTTTTTTTGTGCACCTTTTGTAATGGAATTTTTGTTAACTTTAGCAATGAAATCATCAATGTTGTCCTCGTCGATGAATTCTATTTCAAGATAACTGAGGCTGTTAAAAAACCATTGGTATTTATGTAATTTCAAGTAATGAAGCCACTTAGCAACTGCTCCATCCATTTCTTGATTGAGAATCGTCAGGTCGTTTAGTGACTCCGGGTCTCCCAAAGTAGTGAGCCTGTTAGTATTAACAATCATTTCCAGATGGTTGTATCCAAAACATTCCACTAAAACAACAAAATGTACATCATAGTTAAATATTGTCATGTTCAGCTTGAGGTCAATGAATAATGATTGATTCTTACTTTTAAAGTGTGGCAGACCAGGAGCAGATTTTAAATTTGTCGGTTGCAATAAGTTTGGCCAAACAGCGKTATTCAGTTGTTGAGCAGGACRGACATTAAATGGTTGCAAAGGGGGTCTAAAATAATTTGGCCAACAGTTTGCTGTCAAAGTTTCTTTCGGCATGTGGTTTTGACTGTTGTTCAAATGATTTACTTGGTGAATGAGATGTTTCAGATTCCTAAAAACGTAAACACAATTAATTATATTGTTTGTTGAAAAAATCAGAAAAAAATCATATTGAAAAAATCAAAATTTAAACTCACTCGTAAATAATGCTTAAGTTTGGAGATTTCTCAATCAAATGACATATTTTCACTGCTATCTCAATGTTGGTACCGTTTTCAATTGTTTGGCTTAGCATACATTTTAAATTGTACATATACTCTTCTTTGGCCATTATGTTGTTATTTTTTACCAATATCAATGCTTCATGAAGTTTTACAAATGGTCTTGACGATGGATTATTTAACCATTTAGTAATTTTATTTGGATCATTAGAATCCAGTTCTCTTTTTTTCATCTCTCTAAACAATACAGCGTATAGATCAGGATAGTCGAATGACAGACGATCGAGTGATTCACTCAGACGTTGTTGTCGCTCTTTGTATGATTTACACTGCAGCATTAATGCCTCTGCCAGTTGTTTCATTTCGTCCACTAGAAATAAAATCAAATCAACATTTAAGAATAAGAATAATTACAGCAACAAAAATATGTCAACACTTACAATTATAAGTATAGACATATAAATATATCAATTTTTGAAGTCCTATATATTGGTAAAATACTATATTTTCATTTCCTAAGGGTATATCAGGGCTATATTTGTTTTATCTCTTAGATCTACCATTCGCAACATAAATAAAACGCATTAACGAAACATTTTTTTTTTTTTTTAAGAGTTTGTGAGAAATTTTAGAGGAAAATAAACAAACATTCAAAAATATAATACTTTTTATGATTTCATATACCTGAATTATTTTGTATGAATAGTTAATTTTATATTGGACTTAATACTAAAATATTATTCTCTATAATTTTTATGATGAGTGCGTTTTGTTTATTTGGCATGAGGGCTAGAGAAATAAAACAATCAGCAGTATGACATCCACTTAAAATTATAATACCTGTCTAAACTTAAATAAAACCAGGATCTTATTTTGGTTAATTTCGAATAATATTTTTATTTATTATTTTTGAACCCACAGAAAATAATTTGCTAAATAAATCTTTTATGTGGACAACATTGCTTTTTTCTTAAAAAAAGGTATTATTAATGAATTCTAGTTGTATGCAAGTATGTTCAAAAAGAAAATGAATTAGGTATGATGTGAACATTTTTTATTTGTTTATTATATGAATAACACATATTATACCTAAATTTAAAATTGTCGGTAGGTATCGGTATTATACACTTAGATTATATACCTAAATCATTATTATATAGGTGGATTATTTATGAAATAATAAAATGTCAACACTTACTGTTTGAGTATTCGGTTGTTAAACGGATATCTCGACTTTTGGTTAATATGTAGTAGTAAATGTGTCGGTAAATTTAATGCAAAATACCAATACGTCCGTCGTAAAAAAATGTCTAGAAAAGTGCAACAGTTGTTTCACTGCAACGTCAGAAACTCAGAACACGGTCTGTCGAGTGTCGGTTGATCAATGATCGGTTGATCTTCTAGACTAGTCCGCAGACCGCAGTTTGTATTATCCAACTCCCTCTCCTTCTCTCACTCTCAAAAAAAAAAAAATGCTTTTCGAACGCATGCGATAGCTGGTAGACAGGTATAACATGTTTACTGTATGTCTGCATCCCTTTTTACATAACTACATAATATTATGATACACATACAACAACAGTGGATTTGTTATTTTTGCATTTAAAATATCGTTGATTTAATTCAACTGGGTACTAGGTTATTTTATAATATAAATTTAATGATTTTATATTATTGTATATAGGTGCCTATATTATATGTTTGATTT